TTTTTTTCCACTTGAATATTTGTACGAAAGTCTCGGCAAACACTGGCTACATTTTTCCAGTGTGAACATAATAAAAGCATAAAAGAACACGATGCGTATGTGCACGTGTGAGACTCGACGTCAAGTTGCCAAGGTCTCGGGCCAAATTAGAGCAGAGAGTTTCTGTCAGTTTTATGGTGAAAAATTTTAGTATGATTGTCTGTTGTTTAAATATCGATTTCACTAGTAATGCATTGACGATAACCGAGGTGGCATGATGAAAAACCTATCTTCTTGTGACGTTGTTACGCGCCAACGTCACCGTCATGGTACGTTGGAAACCTTTTAAGTTACTCTCTGACGACCGAAGAAAAAAAATTTAGTTGAAATTTAAAAACAATTTGCACTGCAACATATTTTTGCCTTTTTATTCCCTTAAAATGCAATTCAATTACTAGACCCAATGTAACGTATAACAGGTTTTCTTGGCGGGTGTAAAATTTAGCGTTTTGCCTCCTTAAACGTATGCAAATAATTTTGCCGTAATTTGTTTTAGTGGACACAGAGTTTCAGTCCTTTGCAAATGAAAACTAAGAGGAGTATTGAATATTTAAGCGATTGTAAGTTTAGCGGGCTACCATCAAAACCTTAAAATTAGCCAAAATTAACACCCCGCTAAAATAACCCACTATACAGTAACTTCCATCAGCCATACCATGATTGCAAGAATTTTTTTCTGACTGCAAATATGCAAAAACGATGTCTAGAACTCTAATGCATCAGTAAGCACTACAAAATTTGATTACAAAATTGTCGTCATCAATATGCGCGTGTTCTTGGCTTTTTTTTTACTTTCCCTACGTGACACCATGCATTTCATGGTTTAGTAGTTTTGACAAGCGATTTTAGTGAAAAAAATAACTTTAATACACAACTAACCAATTTTCATAATTCTCGACCACATAGTAAAAATAAAAATGACGCATTTTATGTCCCTATGCGTTTCTTTTTCCATTCATTACATTTGTCTATGACTTCAAAAGCCTGAACTTGAATTTATTTTTCTTAGGGAATGGTTGTAAAAAAAAATTGAAATGTCAAACAATTTGATGTCATTGGTTTTGGCAAAATTTTGCAAATTTAAGGAAGCCGACTGGGGTTTCCACTGCGCAAAATTTCGAGCATTATAGTAAAATGAAACGTATTTGCTATTTTAAAGCAACTTTTTCACTTAATTAATACAACTAAACAAAGTTGAGAAATAAGAGGATGAAAATTTTTATTACAATTTCGAATAAATGATTTTAAAAACGTTATTTAAGTGATAGGTAGATTGACATCGTAATAGTGTGTTTTTTGACGTTTCATAACTTGATGCTCTTAAAGAAGTGGTAAAAAAAAACTTATTTAAACTTATTATTACTATTATTATCATAACTTAATTTAATATTCATAATAAGTTTCAATAAATTTAAGATTAAGAAAGATTTTTCATTTATTTTTGTGTGAAATGCTATTACAATATATAAGTCGTGATATTATACAGAAAATATATAACTTCAAATTTGTGTCTATGCACCTTTAAAAGGAAATTTTTAAGTATCGCTTGGGTTTTTCCTAGAGTATCCACATCTGATTTACACCATTTCTTAAAAAAGAAAAGGGGTCAATCAGATAAGACTTCAAAGATCCGAGTCTTTGACACAGTAAAGATTCGTCACTGCTCAATGAAACTGAGTGACGAGTAAGCCCAAAAGGATGTAGTGTCATACGGTCCCCAGTAAATAAAAAAAATAAATGCCTGAATTTCACTTAAATCACTGATATGTATACCCTAATGGATAACGTACTACTTTTACCCAAAAGAGAATTTTAATTTGGAAGAGTAGGGGTACCATTTTAATAACCCATCAAATTTTGGTCAAACAAAGCAAATATTGAAAATTAACTTTAAACGATAAACTGTCTCGTTTTTAATTTCATGAGGCCGCAAATTTACATTGGATCTGCCTCCAATACAAATATTCCATTTCACTTAGTCAAGATTTGAGTGCATCTCCTAAGCAAAGAAGAGTGGGGGATAAGGTGGACAGAATACCAATTGCGAGACATATGTGAAGTGAAAAGTTTAACTCAATTATATCCAAATTTTATGTGATATTTCATCTAATATTTAGGTATACTTTATGTAAAATCTCTATAATAACAAAAATCTCACAAAGACTGAAACTGTTTGCCTATGAAAAAGCATACACAGACTTAAAAGAACATAAACGATCATTTTTTTCATACTTTAACATTTTTTTTTCATGAAAGATAATCCCAAAAGATTGCGATAAAATAAATAATTTTTGGTTTACAAAAAAATGGCGCGAAGACCTACTATACCTTAAAAGTACACTTTTATGACAAAAAATTCGCACCTTTCTGAGAAATACTTTAAGTTCAGTAAGTCAAGGGTCATATCACAAACATGATTTAAGGTAGTCTGATCCTCAGGTTTATTAAATTAGCAGTTAAGTAATCAAAAGTACTCATAAATGTATCTCTGAATCCACAAAGTTATGTAAATTTATCCACAGTGTTTCTTTAAAGTTCAAGATTAAGTTTAATCATATTATATAGGAAAAATCGTCAAATCTCCAATATTTTTGCAGAAAAAGCGAATTAATAGGAATATCAGCTATGCATTTTCTAATTGCAAACTGATCAACAAATATATTTTAGGTTAACAAATGATAGGTATCCAGGCATTCAGAGAAATTGTCATACTTTTTATACGTATTTGGTATTTTTTGACTTCTATTTCTGTCATGTATTCTATAATACATAGTGTAAAAGGCGTTTGCTATCATTGCAAGACACCACAAATAACTTCTTAGTTCATATCATGTAAATAATCATTGGTATCTAAGGCTGGATTCAAGAAAATCTTATTTCTCCAAAACTGTATTAATTTTTTTTCCTTTTATTAGAGTACAAATGTCAACCTTTATAAAACCTTTTCTAAGACTTCCAAAAACCTTGAATCTTATAAAGATGAATATAATAAAAATTGTTTCATGAAAAAAATTCATTTTCAAGCTTCATTTTCATTTCCTGGCTGAGGATCGGATATCCTTAAATGCCCCTAGTCATCATGAGCAATGTAGCATTGGGGTTAGCGCGTTAGTCTCAAAGCAGTATCATCATGATACTTCAGTATTTTATTGCAGGAATTTAAATCCCATGTATACCTTCTAATATTTTTATAAATGACATTATCAAAAGAAATTTTTCTCAGAATTTTTTTTTCTCATAATTTCATAAATTTTGATAATGAGAAGTAAATTTAAACACTCAATTTACATATCAAATATGATTTCTTAATACTGCTATTTGACAGCATCTTTATGGATTGGATACTACAGAAATCGGTGGGTGGAAGATTTCATCAGTAGAACTCTTAAATCACCTAGGATGATTATCAGTGGATCTCTAGAAGAATGTTTCATTATGTATCAGTAATAGGCTACCTACATAAGAGCTTCACATTACAAGATTTCACTGTAAAACGTCCTTCAAAAAATTCTAATAAATGAAATGTATGGAGATAACAAACAGCATTTAAGTTTAAAATTCCATTCAAACAATACAAATAGAAGAAGAGCAAACAATTATTAGAATGCTAAGACATCTGAGATGGAATTAAGTGCCATTGATGAATGACCATACCCTACCGACCAGTCACACCCACCATGTGCTCCTTGTCATATCCGAAAATAAAAAGAAATATGTTTACAAAATTTCAGTACATTAATAATGACCTAACATTAAGTATGAAAAACATCATTCAGCATTTTAATTAAAGGTGATTGTATTTGTTTAAAATTTCATTATATCCATCGACCTTGGAACTTACAAATAGACTTTAAACGAGACTGTTGGTATTCTTGTTTCATCAACTTGTTTGTCAATAACTTATCCTGTTTTAAAAATTATTCATACGTATACGAAGCATGCTCCTGCATATCTGATCAACTGTGAAATATAAACTCCGTACACAGGTAAAAGGGGCATGTTGCTACATTAACAAACTAGTAAGTAAGGTAGGTTGACAATTGAAAAGTTTCAATTGTGAGGTTTATCGTAAAGCTTAGTTACTGGGTTAACATTTACGTATTTTTCAAGTAAAATATCTAAATATGAAATAGACTCTGTTATACCTTTAATTTGAAGCTCACAGTGATATATCATGTCAACATATATATGAATGGAACTATAACTATTGTTAAGTTAAAATTGTTCGTCAGTATATCTAATTGTCGGGTTGAAAACATAAAAAACACTTCTGTTGCCTTCAACTCAACATTTATATGTATCGACAAAGTATATCAATTAACAATGCTTATTTCCATTCTTATGTTGATATAACATATTTCGGTGAGCTTGAAATAAAAGATATCACGGAGTCTTTTTTCATATTTAGATATTAAACTTGAAAATGACAATGGTTGTGTAACTACCAAGCTTTATTTTCCAAGTTTATGTCTCCCAGTTGATTCGATGTGCAAGAGAGTGTTTTATGTATGACCAATCTCTAAAACGAGGTAATTATTGATAAATTGCTGAAATAAGAATATAAGCAGTCTCGTATAAAGTCTTCCGTCCGTAAGTTCGAATTTTTCCGTTATTTCCCGATCTAGGAGCGGCTAGGAGCACACAGCAGGTGTGACCGATCGATCGGCAGGGTATGATCACTCTCCATAGCACCTACTCCAACTCCGATTTTTTAGAGGTCTATGTTTGATCTGCTCCTATTGAGTATTGTTTTATGGATTTTAAATATTTAATACATGTACTGTTTGGTATCTCCATATGTTTCACTCCATAAAATAAATTCTTATTGTTCATATGGATTATCGGACCAAATCTTAGGTGATATATACATGTATTTATAACTTGAGCATTTCATGAAACGTTGATATGAAATTAAAAACTGTTATGCAATGTGGATAGTTCTTTTATTGAATGTTGTAATACTTTCTGATATTTATGTCATTTTACGCTCTAAATTCGGTCTTATTTTCATCTCCACATGTTTAAGTGAATAGTTTGTGCCAGTCCAGGGTTTCCATGTTACACCATCATATTTTTTATCGTCAATTTTCCCATTTCTATAATATTTTCCATTTAAATTGCTCTGATAGCACTTATAAAACCACCATGCTGCGTGGAATCTCTTTGCGCAACTTCCTCCAAATTCCTTTACAACTTGATCATTGTCAACATCTCGAGTGGAGAATTTTTTATTGTTATGTTTAATCATTCCATCACCGGCGTCTCCCTCGTAACCCCCGATATGTAATTTATAACCTTCATCTTCATCATCAACTACAAACGTGTTATATTCAGCGTATTTATGGTTTTTATCCCAGTCCGTCATCTCAACTCTAAGTGTGTAGTGATCCTGATTTGTGAGTCGGTGTATCACGTTGTTCCCGAGCCAATGTTCTCCATATACTCCTACAAAATAATATTCGAAGAGTTAAACAAAACAATTACTTTAAATACATCTTTGACCTGAATAGTTTGAAAAACAAAACACAAAAGCCATTTGAAAATTTCCTCCATAATATAATTCAAAAAATATTATAAAGCAGGGAATTGACAGACAAAATTGATATTTATTTATACACTCCCAGTTTTCATATGGCGTACTAGTTTGTAGAAGGTGATGATAACAAACTATGTTCTATCTCATAAATCCAATAAAGAAAGCAATTTTTGGAACAGAAAAAAAAAGACATAATCAAATTGTGAACAAGCAAAGACGTGGAAAAATCAAATTGTGAACAGGCAAAGACATGGACAAAACAAATCGCGAACAGACAAAGACGTGGACAAAACAAATCGTGAACAGATAAAGATATGGACAAGTCTAATAGTGAACAAAGACATGGATAAAACGAATCGTGAACGGATAAAGACATGGACAAAACAAATCGTGAACAGACAAAGACGTGGACAAAACAAATCGTGAACAGATAAAAACATGGACAAGTCCAATAGTGAACAAACAAAGACATGGATAAAACGAATCGTGAACAGACAAAGACATGAAACAAAAACGTGAACAGATTAAGACGTGGACAAAAAAAATTGTGAACAGACAAATATATGGATAAAATCAACCGTAAACAGACAAAAGACATGGATAAAACAGATCTTAAACAGATAAAGACATGGACAGAACGAATCGTGAACAGACAAAGACGTGAACAAAATAAATCGTGAACAAAAAAAGCCATGAACAAAACTAATCATGAACAGACACAGACATGAATAAAACAAATCTTGGACAGACAAAGACATGGACAAAACAAACCGTAAATAGGCAAAGACATGGACAAAACGAATCGTGAATAGGAAAAAACATGAATAAAACAAATTGTGAACAGACAAAGAAATGGACAAAACGAATTATGAACAAAGACATGGATTAAAATCGCGAACGGAAAAAGACGTAAACAAACAAATCGTGAACAGATAAAGAAATAGACAAGACCAACAGTGATCAAACAAAGACATGGATAAAACGAATCGTGAACAGACAAAGACATGAACAAAACAAATCGTGAACAGACAAAGACATGAACAAAACAAATCGTGAACAGACAAACATGAATAAAACAAACCTTGGACAGGCAAAGACATGGACAAAACAAATCATGAACAGACAAAGACATTGAAATTACAAATCGTGAACAGAAAAAGACATGAATAAAACAAATTGTGAACAGACAAAGAAATGGACAAAACGAATTATGAACAAACATAGACGTAAACAAAACGAATCGTGAACAGATAAAGACATGGTCAAGACCAATAGTGAAAAAAGAAAGACATGGACAAAACAAATCGTGAACAGATAAAGACGTGGACAAAAAGAATCGTGAACAAATATATGGATAAAATCAACCGTGAACAGACAAAAGACATAGATAAAACAGATCTTAAACAGATAAAGACATGGACAGAACGAATTGTGAACAGACAAAAAAATGGACAAAATAAATAGTGAACAGAAAAAGCCATGGACAAAACAAATCGTGAACAGACACAGACATGAATAAAACAAATCTTGGAACAGACAAAGACATGAACAAAACAAATTGTGAACAGGCAAAGGCATGGTCAAAACGAATCGTGAATAGGAAAAAACATGAATAAAACGAATTGTGAACAGACAAAGAAATGGACGAAACGAATTATGAACAGACAAAGACATGGACAGAACGAATTGTGAACAGACAAAAAAATGGACAAAATAAATCGTGAACAAAAAAAGCCATGGACAAAACAAATCGTGAACAGACACAGACATGAATAAAACAAATCTTGGACAGACAAAGACATGAACAAAACAAATTGTGAACAGGCAAAGGCATGGTCAAAACGAATCGTGAATAGGAAAAAACATGAATAAAACGAATTGTGAACAGACAAAGAAATGGACAAAACGAATTATGAACAGACAAAGACATGTACAAAACAAATCGTGAACAGATAAAGACATGGACAAGACCAATAGTGAACAAAGACATGGATAAAAAAAAAATCCTGAACAAAACGAATCGTGAACAGACAAAGACATGGACAAAACAAATCGTGAACAGACACAGACATGAATAAAACAAATCGTAAACAGGAAAAGACATGAATAAAACGAATTGTGAACAGGCAAAGACATGGACAAAACAAATCGTGAACAGGAAAAGACATGAATAAAACGAATTGTGAACAAAGACATGAATAAAACAAATCGTGAACAGGCAAAGACATGGACAAAACAAATCGTGAACAGGAAAAGACATGAATAAAACGAATTGTGAACAGACAAAGACATGAATAAAACAAATTGTGAACAGGCAAAGACATGGACAAAACAAATCGTGAACAAGAAAAGACATGAATAAAACAAATTGTGAACAGACAAAGACATGAATAAAACAAATCGTGAACAGGCAAAGACATGGACAAAACAAATCGTGAACAGGAAAAGACATGAATAAAACGAATTGTGAACAGAAAAAGACATGAATAAAACAAATCGTGAAAAGGCAAAGACATGGACAAAACAAATCGTGAACAGGAAAAGACATGAATAAAACAAATTGTGATTAGACAAAGACATGGACTAGACCAATAGTGAACAAAGAGATGGATAAAAGAAATCGTGAACAGGCAAAGACATGAATAAAACAAATCACGAACAGACAAAGACGTGGACAAAACAAAACTTGAAAAAAACAAAGACATGGACAAAACAAACCGTGAACAGACAAAGACATTGACATTACGAATCGTAAACAGACAAAGTCATTCATCAAACAATTTGTGAACAGGCAAAGACATTCATCAAACAAACTGTGAACAGGCAAAGACATTTATAAAACCAATCGTGAAAAAGCAACGACATGGGAAACCAAAGGTGGTATCAGCTACTTTTGAGTAAGCCCTCCTTTTCGACCGGTTACTGTTTACTGTGTAGTGAGATTTTATAATGACAATGGATTGTACGGCGTACCTCCGAATCCCTCTCTGTAATCCTCCCAGTCCCTATAGAAATTGGTGGTGCCATCCTGTCGCTTCTGAATCAACGTCCAACCACCCTTCTTCATGTCGCAATATACTTGAATTAGTCTGTTGGTACCATATGGTCGAATCTTATAGACCCCATTTCTCATGTTTCCTTTGAGAAAGTAATCGCAACAATCTGTAAAAAAAAAGTTGAAAAAATACAGAAGATAAATACAAGTTACGTTGATGAACATGCATAATCTGATTAAACTAGTATCATAATTTGATACAGACCTTTCGAGTCACTTTGTCCATCTGCAAGATACTTTATTGATGTGTTTTTTTCCTTTTGCTATATCAGTTTTATGCTCTCTATTTTCTAGATTCGTACTTTCATTACTGCTTTCTTTATTCTTCGTCTTCTGTAATTCTTGTAACTTGGCTTCATTACCAGAATCATCTACATATTTTTCGTTCTTATGTGAACCGCTGTTATCACTTTCGTTTCTACCCTTTGTATCTTCTATCAGATGCTTTGCGACAGAATTTGGGTGTACCTCGCTTTTCATTTTATTGATATTGTCATCGCTTTCTTTACCAGAGTCAGATTTCCATGCATTCATATTTTTTTGTTCTTTTGTCATACCGTTTTCTTCGTTTTGCACATTTTTTGCTGTTAAAGTTTGCTTTATATCAAGTTCTTCTATTGTCTTTTCCATAGCCTTTAAAACCTCCTCTTCTATGGTTTTATTGTATTGGTCAACATGGAGGATATTTTTGTCTTCCTTTTGAACACTCGTCCCATCATCAGGATCAGGCGGCTGTACATTTTGTGATGTTTCAGAATCTTTTGTTTTGTTTGATTCCTTTCGTTCAATTTTTGTAATGATTTCTAAACTTTCCGGTTCATTGTCAGATTCAGAGTATGACATCAGGCTTTCTGATTCACAATTAGCAAAAATAAAAGGTGAGTACGGTGCACACTCGGATATAATAATAAAGCCCTTGAAACAATGTGCACTAGAGTCACACCATTCCTGAAGTTTGACAGATGATGTGATTGAGGTGTAATGTAAATACTCCTTTAACTGTTCATCGATTTCATCGTCTTGGTCTTTTAGTTGTCCAACAAAAGACGATTGTTCAATTATTTCACCGCTTTCTAGTTTTTTATCTGACACTAGATCGTCTAGTTGCTGTAGCAGTTGGTTTGAGAGATCATCAAGATATGATTCTTTTGAGTTTGTGGCTGGTGAATCTACCAGTCCCTGATTTGAAGGGCTGGGCAAAAATATCAATATTTAGGTATACTGCAATATACTGACAAAATATATCGTATTGCAATACGTTTTTGTAATATCGATATATCGGGAAAATGCTTAGACTAAGGACTTTTATCATCAAATATGAAAATTAAATCAAGGAAGGTTTGTTATTAGGCCAAACAGTAAGATAAAAGCTGTTTTATGGAAGTATTTCAGGCATAACTTTAATAAAATCAACGAGATCTTTCTCCTCTTGGCAACTTTTCATAGTTATGTACATTCTGGATGAAAATTAAAGTTAATATAATAAGAAAATGCCATTGTAATTTTTATAGAAAATATTGCAATACATATCGCAATACAGTTAGAATATTGCAATACATCGCAATACGAAATCTCTGGCCAATACCCAGCCCTACTGACTTGCCTGACTTTTTTTAAATTCTCTGACGTCTTCTTAACCAATTTCTAACTTTTGCTTCATTTTTTCTGCTGTTTCATGTTGTTGTAGAGTTTGTTCAGTGAGAGATTGTACTTTTGCCATAATTTGTGATATCAAAACAATTTGGTTCATGACCATCGCATACAAAATTCTGTGTTGGTCATCAAGACCCTCGGACCGATTCTTTAATTTATCTATTAGGTTTGATTGGTTTTGTAACTTCTCTGACAGTTTCATAATTGTTTGCTGTTGTTCTGTCAGACGTTGGTCGTGATTTAGTTTCTGTATAGAGTAACTTTCAGTGATTTGTCTAGTTCTAAGTATTTTCGTTGAGTTTTTGTCATTTTCAATTTTCATATAATGGAAGCTTTGTTTCATTCTTAACAGCTCGTTCTCTAACCTAAGAATGCTATTCTCTAGTCTTGCTATGAAACTGGAATGATTTTCTTTGTTCAATTTTTCCATTGACATACTAGTATGATTTTAAGCTTTATCTTATCTAATTCCAGAATATTTTTGTATATTCTTCCGTTTTCAAAGACACCATGTCTCCCAAAACCTTTGTTTTTCTGCGAATTTTTGTTAATTGTTGGTTTATCATTCGACAATCGTTGTAGAGCATTATTTAGTACTTTGCCGCATTAGTAACAGTATTATCACTTACTGTTGGAAACACTGTAATCATCATCTACAAAAACAAGAAGAGATGCAAAGAAGTAGACCAATCATGGTAACACACAAACACTCTCTCTTGAATTACAAGCACTGACTCTTACAGGTATTTTTTGAGTACTCTCTCTCTCTCTCTCTCTCTCTCTCTCTCTCTCTCTCTCTCTCTCTTGATTTAGATGAGTTTATTTGTTTTGATTTTAAGGTATCTAACTACTTAGATGTTCGAAAACATTACTCTCAGACAAAACTTGTGCAAGTATTGACTTTCATATACAAGGGGCCCACGGGCCTTATAGGTCACCTGAGTATTGTGCAACAACTTTCAAACAATTAAATTTGGTTCATGTTTTAAACCAGAGACCATGAAATTCGCAATTCACAATTTTGAAAGAGGTACCATTGCTTATCATAATTATAGACTTAGCATGCTTACTCTATTTACTTAATACCCAGAGGTAGATCAGAGTAATATTAAGAGAAAATGCACTTCCACTTTATATCCAGTTGTGCACTTCATCCCAAAGGAACCACTGATCCTGGGCCACATATTTCAAAATTTTGCAAGTTTTATCAGAAAATGGTTGATTAGCACCAAAGAGCAGATTTCAAAGCATTAATTTATTTTCAGATTTTGTACCCCCCCCCCTCACCCCCGACCCAAGAAAGGGGGGGGGGCATAAAAAATAACCATTTTGCTAGGTGCACATTTCTTCAGCATAAATATATATATTCGGATCATTGGCATAAAACCCAGGAACAAAAGAAAGATTTTCAAAGAATTAATGTATTTTCACTATATAATCAATAAAGCCCCGTCCTAACACCAGAACCCCTGAACCTGGGGCCATAAAATTCACAATTTTGGAAAAGGCACTCTTGCTTATCATAACTATGTACTAAGTTTATTTAATACCCAGAAGCAGAGAAGAAGATTTTCAAAGAATTAATGCATTTTCACTATATGATCAATAGAGCCCCGCCCTAACACCAGAAGCCCTTACCCTGGGGCTTTAAATTCACAATTTTGACAGAGGCACTTTTGATCAACATAACTATTTGCTTACATAGTTTATTTAATACCCAGAAGCAGACAAGAAGATTTTCAAAGAATTAATGCATTTTCAATACTAGTATATAATCAAAAGTGTCCCACCTTAACATCAGAACCCCTGACCCTGGGGCCACAAAATTCACAATTTTGGAAGAGGCACTCTTGCTCATCATAACTATGTGCTTAGTTAGTTTATTTAATACCCAGAAGCAGAGAAGAAGATTTTCAAAGAATAAATGCATTTTCACTATATAACCAATAGAGCCCCGCCCTAACACCAGAATCCCTGACCCTGGGGTCATAAAATTCACAATTTTGGAAGAGGCACTCTTGCTTATCATAACTATGTACTTCTTTAGTTTTTTTTAATACTAAGAAGTAGAGAAGATTTTCAAAGAATAAAAGCATTTTCACTACATAACCAATAGAGCCCCGCCCTAACACCAGAACCCCTGACCCTGGGGTCATAAAATTCATAATTTTGGAAGAGGCACTCATACTCATCATAACTATGTGCTTGGTTAGTTAATTTAATACCCAGGAGCAGAGAAGAAGATTTTCAAAGAAATCATGCATTTTCACTATATAATCTATATAGCACCGCCCTAGCACTAGAACCCCGGACCCTGGGGCCATGAATTTCACAATTTAAGTAGAGGACTCAATGCTCATTACATTCATGCCAACAGTTTGCCTGCTTGATTGTATACTGTTTAACGTCCCTCTCCAGAATATACCACTGATATGGAGACGTCACCATTGCCGGTGAAGGGCTGCAAATTTAGGCCTATGCTCGGCACTTACGGCCTTTGAGCAGGGAGGGATTTTTATCGTGGGAGGGATTTTTAATTTCTCCATCTTCAAAACAAGCTGGATCTAAATGCAATAACTTACCGAGATCTAAATATTAATTTTTCAATTCTTTTATCCATGTTGTCAAGGTATATGTTACCCTCTAGACCTGCTGTAATATACAGTTGTATAACATTTTTGAATAAGTTTTCTTATTATATCACAAATGTAATAAGTTTCGCTATAAACCCTGAAAAATGCTGAGTCACACCGGAAACAGTTATGTCACGTCGGAAACAGTTATGTCACCCCCGACGGAAACAGTTATGTCAGCCTTTCGATCACCTTCACGTGTTTTTACGTTACGCATTTTAGTTCGGGTTCGAGATTCTATGAAGTCGGTTGCTAAGCAAAAGTAAACAGCACAGTGTATTTCTTAACGTCAAGAAGGCATTTTTGGATTATTTATGTAAATTTTGTCGATTTTGAATGATTTTAAATTTTCTTTTAATTTTAAAAATGTCATATATAACATATACCACATGGCTTCTCGGGCGACTATACCAGAATATTTGCCCCTCGGTGACAGGAAAGCCCTGGAGTGTTATGACACCCTCTGCCTCCGGCATCGGGTGACATAACACTCCAGGGCTTTCCTGTCACCGAGGGGCAAATATTCTGGTATGTCATCCTGGAAGCCATGTGATATATGTATAATATAACATTTTTGAATAAGTTTTCTTATTATATCACAAATGTAATAAGCTTCGCTATAAACCCTGAAAAATGCTGAGTCACACCGGAAACAGTTATGTCGCGTCGGAAACAGTTATGTCACCCCCGACGGAAACAGTTATGTCAGCCTTTCGATCACCTTCACGTGTTTTTACGTTACGCATTTTAGTTCGGGTTCGAGATTCTATGACGTCGGTTGCTTAGCAAAAGTAAACAGCACAGTGTATTTCTTAACGACAAGGAGGCATTTTTGGATTATTTGTGTAAATTTTGTCGATTTTGAATGATTTTAAATTTTCTTTTAATTTTAAAAATGTCATATATAACATATACCACGTGGCTTCTCGGGCGACTTTACCAGAATATTTGCCCCTCGGTGACAGGAAAGCCCTGGAGTGTTATGTCACCCTCTGCCTCCGGCATCGGGTGACATAACACTCCAGGGCTTTCCTGTCACCGAGGGGCAAATATTCTGGTATGTAACCCTGGAAGTCATATGATATATGTATAACGGAATGGGTACGAAGGAAATAGCAAATTTATGGTTCCCCGAGGAAGGAAACTATTTCCTGAGGCGGCGAAGCACCATAAATTTGCTATTTCCCGAGTTCCCATTCCATAACTGTTTTATTATACAGAAACAATCATAGGCGATTTAATTTTATGAGATATTTCGACATTAAAAAACACTATAAACGTATGCATGATTACAAATGCATGCTGTGAAATTACAGCTTGTATGATAAGTAATCCATCGTGTTCTAAAACAGAACAGTTCAGTTATTTTTAAAAAGTATTTTCACTTACATTTCGAAGAATTATCGTTGTCTTTATTTTGCTAGAATTCAAGTATGATTTGACATCGCATGTCGAAATGTTTTGACGTCATAGTTACATTGCTAATAACATGACGTCACAGACTCGCGATTCCTTGAACGCTCCGCCCACTGAACACTTTGATTGGTTAAAATTACTAATAAATATTCATGAGGGAGTGGTCCCAGGGAGTATATCTCTGGCCCCAGGATCATGTAACAGACTTAAACTTAAGTCAAAATTTCTAACATCTATAAAATCTTAAAAACTTGTTAAAGGAAACTCTTAATTTGCATATGACAGCAGTTTGATGATACAAAACCGGAAAGCATTTTCATTTCGGGCTGCTTAACCTCTAAAAAATTCAGCATCTAAGACATTTTTTTTAACTTAAAGCTCACATGAATTCTTAAAAACGCAACATTTTCATCTATGCACGACTTGTTTCATACCAACTAGAGCCGTATTCCGCCATATTTCTTTCAGATACCTTGTCTCATTGTAACGATGTATATTCATATGCGCTCGTTACACTTGAATGATTTTTTGGATTGGGTATCGACTTGTTCACATCTCCGATGGTAAAGCATATGAGAACACATAAGGTGATCAAGACATTTCAAAAACAAAATAAACAACATAATAATCATATTTTTGAATGATTATTGATTTGAATCAAAAGAAAAAAAAGTTTGGAAGAGAAATTTAGATGCATGAATACGTATTTTTACAGTGCGAAAATTTATACAGAATAAACTTCAAATAAAAAGCAGTAAAATTTGCGAACACATTTTGAAATTATTATCATTTGAATGGAACAAAACAACCAACGTCTTTGATTTGCAGGTCCCATGCAACTGATGCATATCGAGAAAACGCCTCGAACGCTGTAAACGTACCCATACCTGGTAATAAGGTTACTGCATCGGTTCGAAGATGTGCACAAGTCAAGTGAAATACACCCTGAATTCCATTTATTAAAATCACAAAAAAGAAATAAACTCCATAAAAGCTCAATAGTAAACACACTGTCATTACTCCGTACACACTAGCAAGACGATACACTTAGTCCGTGCTGATCAGATTTTGGTCAGGGAAAATATCACAAGTGAAAAGAGAAGTTACTTTGTATTTGCGCGGCTGAAAGGGGGGGGGGATATTATAACTGATGTTCATAAGCTATAATTGTGAATTGTTTATCTACATGTAGTTCTAATACACATTCTATACCAAGTCATGTATATAGTCTGCAGCTGCTTTTCGTCGCAAAATTCATTTTAATTATATAATTATAACTGATTATTTTAGTACTAATCTCAAATCTAAAGAAAGTAATTTTATGTACGGCTATAATTTACTTCAAATCTTAAAAGCAATGAACCAGAATACAAATTTTTATGTGTACATCTATACATTATTTAACACATACACACACGGAGAAAGGCCATCCCCTGTTCAGATTGACATTTAAGCATTTGATTTTTTGGACGGGGGGGGGCATACAAAAATAATTGACAAAACAGTTATTTAAATATTCTCGGAAGACACACATTTCTGCCGAATTCAGTTTTGAGATTTTTTTAAAATGTGTCACTCCGACCACAAAGTCTGTGCATTATGAGGAATGTTACTGTTTTATAATTATGTTGTTACAGGAAGTATTTCGAGATTTCAGTAACCCTGCCTGATAGTCTAGGTATTATATATATATATATATATATATATATATATATATATATATATATATATATATATATATATATATATATATATATATATATATATAGAAAGCACAGAGAAATTCACTTTGTAGTAGTTACCCCATATCATACTGTTGGTTATGTGTAGATACCCGCTGGGCGTGGTCATAATGACACGAGGGAGCGTAGCTCCCGAGTTGTCATTATGACCACGCCCATCGGGTATCTACACATAATCAACAGTGTGATATGGGGTAAATGACTTGTACCATAGTTTTCAAAAATCATTCATATGTAAGTCAGCTTAGGAATCGGTCGGACTAGTTCGCGATTGAAACATTAAGTGTTTGGTTTCAAAGATGCATTTGGATTTTATATGACTTTACGCTCCTTCCTGTCCTTCTGACCATGTCCATCGAATATAGGGTAAGTGATTTGTATACAATACTTTTCAAATTTTGCTTCAAATTTTGCCCTATACTCGCCAAGTAGGGTCATTGAGCAGTGAGGGATCTTCTTACTGTCAACACCTCTGTTTATACTTTATAGGTCTCTACGTCCCACAGTGGGATTCAACTCCTTACTTCGTGACTCTAGGGCAGGGTTTACCACTGGGCCACGCAAGCGACATAAAAATTAAACATATCTAGGCCGTTTAAAAAGTTTGATTTATGTAATTGAAAAAATAACGAGTTTTGTTTCAATGATATAATGCTAATTTGATATGATTTTTTTCTCGTAAATTTCAATCGTCAAAATTACATACTAGTAAACTTGGTTTAAATTAAATTTTTGTAAACCTGATACAAACTTTGCCGTGCACAGTGGTACGTTGATTGAAATGTTTTTTTTTTATGGATTATGTATATTTCAATTTAATGAAAATTAGATCTTTGATCGGCTACATCCGCAATCGAAAAGGTTATTTAAGTACAGTAGTGTACACTTGTTTTTACGTCAAGTATATATAGAGGATATTCAATGTTTTGTAGTTGAATATGGAATTTATTTCCCGAGAGGGACAGGATTTTTGATATTTTCACGAGTGCGAAGCACGAGTGAAAATATCAAAAAATCCTGTCTCACGAGAACGATATATTGGAATCTACTAAGCTAACGTCACCCTGGTCATTACACTATTTAAAAAAATGTTTAAAAAATCAAGCGATTTCTGAAGTTTTTTTTTCTTAACTTTGAACTATAATTAAAGTATTAATGGCCGTTTTTAACTGTTATTTATTACAAAATGATGTATACAATTGAAAATTTTTAGAGGCTCCTTTTAACAAGCCCGTATGATTGTTTCATTTAAAAACCGTGCATGGTCGTTTTATAAATAGTTCTTTTGTCCCGACTCGATGGGCGGAGTTATAGAAAAGTGTGGGTTATGTACAGAAAACCCACACTTTTAACAAAAGACTCACTTCCGCCCCAGCCCGGGGTTGAACTCTCGACCTACGGAATCTGTCTCCTAGCAGCACTTGTAAAAGTGAATTTCTCTGTGCTTTCTATAATAATATTCCTTCACTTAGGGCAGTTATATTAGTTTAAGAGTTGTTGTAATTTGTGCTTTATAAATAAAAATTAATTTCATCACAACATGTATTGGTAACGATCCTCTAAAAACTAATGTCCAAATAACTGTATCTCACTTCCATTCTCAATGACCGTGTAGTGTAGGGCAGCGTTGTGAGAATTCCATCGGCATCGAAAGCAAGTTTTTTAACTTGCCTAGATAGCCGAGCGGTCTAACGCGCTGTTCTGTACTGCTAGGAGACAGATTCCGTAGGTCGAGAGTTCAACCCCGGGCTGGGG